GGCCGGGCTGTACCGCCCGGGCGAGGACGCCGTGTGGGTGCTGGACAGCGGCGGCGTGCGCGGGGCCACAGCCAACAGCTCGGCCGCGTGGCTCGTGCAGTTCTACTCCTCGTGGTGCGGCCACTGCATCGGCTACGCGCCCACCTGGCGGGCCCTGGCCGGGGACGTGCGAGGTGAGGCGCGAGACCCGGCCCTGGCGCGGCCGCCGGCTGGCCCTCAGCCGCCACCCTGGCTTCCCCGCGACAGAAGGGCGTTTGACCCCGCTCCTTCCCAGGCCCGTTTCTTTCCACAGCACCTTCTCTCCCGGCGCAGCCCACTTAGATCAGCCTGGCCCCTGCAGGGGAGGGAGCGACCTGCTCCCCATGCGTCCTCCAGGGAATCCGCCACCAAATCCTGAGAAATTGGGCTGTCGCAAGGCAAAGAGAAAGGAACCCTTCACTCCAGCCCTCACCCCACAGTTGAGAACAGGGTAGCCCACTTGTCCCCGAGTCTTTCATTGGACCCCAGGTCCTAATCCTAGCAGTCCTCGCCCTTTTAAGATGGAGACCCCTAGCTCTCAGGAAGTTCATTAACCGCCCAGGCCTCTTGCTTCTAGCCATTTCCTTACCAACACCACCTCCCCGCCCGTCAACAATTGCACTTCAGTGCGGAGGAGCCCCGTTCGCGCATCCCCATGCCAAGGGCAGACCTCTAGACACCCCTCTCCCTTTAAATCCCTTCATCCTGTCTCTGGGTTGCATAGCTGGCCGTTTGGTGGATACTCATAGTGAGTCCACAACTTAGATATCCAAATATCTTGGAGATTGCTCTATAGGAGGAAAAAAAATCTTTAACACAATTCATTGGGCGGTTTCTTCTTCACAGACACGCATTCACTAAGCCACCGGTAATTTTTCTCCACTTTATTGTAATTTACCACTTTTGTAATGCTGCACATTTTTAAAACAGTCACCAAGTCATTCGTCCGCTTTAAATGGCAGAGTTGGGGGGCGGGGCATTTGCAGCAGCCTTCCTGCTAGCTGGTGACGGCGGAAGTGTTATTTAAATTCTGAGGAGGGGCTCCTCTGGGGGGGTGGGAGGCTTGGCAGGGTTCTGGGGCAAGTGTTGCGCTTACCTCTACTTACGTATCTCAGTGGGTGAAAGAGTTTAAAATTGCTACCCTTCTTCCGGTACCTTTTTTTTTTTTAAAATATAAGTCTTATGTCTAACCCGGTTATATTTTTCTCATAACTAAACAAATGAAACAAACTTCCTGGATCTATATATGGCTTTTGTACTTAATTATAAACGATTATCTTTAAAACGAATTCTCATCATAGGGCCCTGAGGCAAACTTTTGAATCTAGTAGCTTTGTTTTCTTTGAGCGGATGTTTTTCAGAAGGCCGGCATGTTCTGCAGTGCTCAGAACTGAGATCAGAGGCCGTAAGAACCCAACTGAAATCTCCGTGGGTTTTGGGTTTGTTTTTTGGGAGCCTTTGCTTTTAGAAATTAGCAATTCAGTGATGCAGGGAAGCGTTCAGTTTCTGTAGAACACCAGACAATTCAGTGACATAGAGAAACGTTCAGTTCCTGTTTGTTCTGCCGTGCCAGGACCACAGCTGTGTAAATTAAAATGCAGGTACCTTGCCAAGATTTTTGTCACCTGTTTTTACATGTTGGCTTTCATTTTTTCAGTTTCAAATCTGAAAAAGAAGAACTGTAAATGAGTCAAATACCACAAATGCTTCCACGGCTGAACCAGCACGTAGGCAGCCTTCAAAATTGTCTCTGGAACTTCCCAGGAAGGTCACTTCTAACAAAATGCTGCCTAACAGGCGTGATTAAGTCCTAAACGAGGCAACCTTAGGAGGCTGCGTGTCCAGGTCAGGCAGGAGGAGCCGGGTGAAGTGAGATGGGGTGGAATGGGAAGGACAGTCACGTGCTGACAGGCCAGGGTCGGCCAAGGGAGCCTAGGCAGGGGTCCCAGAGAGCCACGCTGTGCTGGTACCGTGCTCAGCAGTCTCCCTGCCAGCAGGCTCTCCAGGGGTGCTGCCAGCACCCCCAGGAACACACTAGTTCCTTTGTGTGTGGTCAGCGTACCCCATGTTACCCCTTGTGAGCTGGGCTGTTCCACCAGTCCCCTTGGGCCCCTTGAAATCGAGCACAGCCCCCAGCCTCCCTGCCCGACACCCCCCAGTGTGAGTGGCGCCGATGCGTGAGTCGTCCCCACGCCGCTCTGCTCCCTGGCTGGAGACCGTGTGGGCTCGCAGTGCTCGCTGCATCTGGCCACTGCGTTCCCGCGGCACTGCCCACCCTGCTCCCCACTCTTCACTCGGGCTCAGGGGCACCTTGTTTCCTGAAAGCTTTGATGGAGCTTTCTGGAGCTCTTCTCTGACTTGACTTTTTCCCGGTTTTGAGATAAAGGTTTTTCTTTCTGAGAAGGTGGCTTAAACAAAAGGTCTGCTGTTGGGTGTAGCCACCTGTCACCCTTGTGTTTATGAGATATGGTTAGGCCTGTCACTTAAGGACTTTACAGAACAAAAACCTGCTGTGCTCCTGAAAAACCCTTCGGCCTGGAGCTGGGGTGGTTAGCTTGACTTGTGCACTGTTGCCTGTTTGTGTGACAGGTGGAACGCCTGCGTCTGCTGCGGCCCACCCTGTGAGGGTGCTTTGCTCTGTGGACCTCTGCTGCAGCTCTGGGGGGGACACTGAACAAAGGGGGTGCGTCCTGGAGGTGACAGGCAGGTGTCCCGGTCAGCTTCAGTGTGCCCTGTCTGTCTCAGGAGAGACGAGTTCTAGACAAAGCCCCGAGAGGTGGCTGTGAGCCTGCCCTGCTCCTGGGGTAGGTGTCCAGTGCTTCTGCTGGAGTGGCCTGGGAGGCACCACCACTGTGTCTCGGGACAGGTTAGGTGGGGGCAGAAGGGAGGGGCCGGGTCCGTGGGCGCTGACTGGGTGCCCTGGTTGCAGCTCCTTGCTCACTGCTGTGAGGTGTCCACTGTCCTCTCTGCACCCCACCATTTAGTGCTTCTGTTTGCTCCGGGGCTGCTTGTCTATGGAGCTGGCTTTGGGCTTCCTGGGGTGATTCTACTACTTGGCTTTCCCTGCGGGCCAGTTATTGGTTTTGGGGAGGAGGGTTTATGATGGCACGTGCCGGGCTGAGCGACAGGCCTGGGGCTGCCGGAGCAAGGGGCGTGAGATGGAAGGGGTGTGAGGTCAGCTAGTGGCCGCGTCCTCCCCTTACAGCCCAGAAGTTGCCTAACATGGCCCCTGCTTCTCGGACAGGTGGTGGTTTTGGTTCCCTGGGGCCAGGGCACTGGAAGAGATGGGTGCACAGTGCCAGCGGGGCCTGGGCATGGCCCCCAGGAGGCAGTGCTGTCTGAGACCCCAAATAGCACAGCGACGCACAGTGTGTGCTGGGCCGGTGCGCGTGGTGTTTTCCGTGACTTGCCGAGGGGGGCTTTGCAGACCATGTCTGGAGAGAAGGTTGTGCCCCGGAGAGCCCAGGCTGTCGGGGACGGGAGTGACTGCTACTCCGTAAGTCTTACGTGGCCGCACCGCGGGTGACTCTTGCCCGTTCTCTAAAGCCCGTTCTCTTCGTGTGCCTCAGAGTTGCGCTGCTTGGGCATTAAAGTGATGAGAGACTGTTCCCCTCCCTGGTCTGCCGGAATACTGAGGACCACACGCAGTGCTGGGTCCTGCCCCCAACCACTGGTGACACGTAGGCAAAGCGAGTGCCAGGCAGGCCTCCTCAGACGTGGGCTAATGCCTACCCAGTCTTGTGTGCCCCTAGCTTGCGGCTTGAGCTTGGAGCATACCTGGAAAGACCTTTACTCCGCTGAGACAGGCCAGCTGTGGGGCCGAGAGCGGTCTCTAGTGGCTGAGTTTGGGGCTGGCACCCGGGCCAGCGCCCTGACATCACCGGGAGGAAGCGGGATCGGACTCTGCTTTAACACACTTCCAGTCACATTCCTCTAACCCTCCGGAGGGTAATTAATTTTTCCTGTAACCGTCCCAGGACTAATTGACACTGGGCCATGGGCCAGGCTTTTACGGATGTTCTCTTTCGAACATTGCACACAGTGATGAAAGGTGGCGTCTTGTTAGGTCAAGTAATACACTCACTTGACAAGTACATTTCAAATGAGTCTTAGTCTACCGTATATAACCCAAAAACAAAACCCATTGCTGTCGAGTTGATTCTGACTCATAGTGACCCTATAGGACAGAGTAGAACTGTCCCATAGGGTTTCCAAAGAGCAGCTAATGAATTCGAACTGCTGACCTTTTGGTTAGCAGCTGCGCGCTTAGCCACTGTGTAACCAGGGCTCCCTACTGTATGTGGAAGCGTAATTATTTCACGCATATTTGTTAAGCCTGTAGAACCCGTGGTAGCATAGTGGTTAAGAGCTATGGCTGTGAACCAAAAGGTCAGCAGTTCGAATCCACAGGCGCTCCTTGGAAACTCTATGGGGCAGTTCTACTCTGTCATATAGGGGTCGCTATGAGTCGGAACCAACTCGACGGCAGCGGGTTTGGTTTTTGGGTTTTTTTAATAGTACCAGAAGTAGCCAAGCTCATGAGCACAGGTGGGGAACAGGCACGTGGCCCGCTGGAAGCCCCCAGCTGTCGTAGGAGGGCGAGCCTCTGCGCCACGCAGCCGGCGCTCCATGACCCCAGTGTGGAGCTGGGCTGGCCTGACATGGTGGCGGAAGCAGGCCGTCTGCCCTCAGCTTTATAGCGCGTCTCTGCTTTGAACGGTCGGGATCCAGACAGGTGGGAAAGGCAGGGGAGGGGAGGGTGCAGGCTGAATGAGGCGGAGACCCTGAAGCTAACCCTTTGAAACTCCTTGCATTTTATTTGACAGAGTAGACTGGCGTGTCTTTTGTGTTGCTGTGAATGCTGTCCATCTGCCAGGGACTTGCAGTTACTGCTGGCGCCTGTTCAGCTGCTGGCAGGCGGGCAGGCGGGCCGTGCAACTGAAATTCTCGGCGTCTGCTCCAGCCTCCCCACTCCACCAGGCCAGCGTTCCCTCAGGCAAACAAAGGCCCCCTGAAATGTCAGCGTCCCCCAGGATGGCTGGCCTGGGTTCGAGTGGGGTGGGTTTGTCCTGAGTGTGGCGTGGCAGATGACCTGTTGGTTCCCAAGGGTCTGCAGGCGGAGGCCAGTCACTGCCTCTGCGCACAGGCTGTGTGCATGCTGGGGAGAGCGGGGGCTGGTGTCTGCTCTCCGTCAGTGTGGCCGACATGCCTGAATCTGTACTGAGTGTGTTTTCTGCCCCAAGCACTGCGGTGGGCACGGAGAAGAGCTGTGAACCAAACAGGGAAGGCCCTGTACAGAGGGAGCCCACGCTTCAGACAGTGAACAGAAAAACTAGTCGAGTGCATTGGTCAGTTACCGATGAAGGTCCTAGAAAGTAAGCCGGATGCTTTGAGAGAAGCTGGACCAGCACAGGGCAGTCAAGGGAGGCCGTGGAGAGCAGCAGCTGAGACTCGGAGAACAAGGAGCTGCCGCTGTGAGCAACAAACGCACCAGGTGGAGGGGCAGCACGTGCAAACGTCCTGAGGCAGCAGGACTGCCAGCCTGAAGAGCTACAAAGGATCATCGTGGAGAAGGGGGCGTCTCCGGGGTCCACACCGACCCTGGACTAGTTGTCCTCTAGCAGCAGGGAGCCCAGACGGGAGCCGTAGCACCTGGCTTTTATGTACACGGTGCCTCTGGCTGCACTCTGGAGAGTTGAGGGCAGAAACCCAACCCGGAGGGGCAGTGGGGAAACACAAGAGAAGAGGGGGAGCAGCGTCATCACCATGTTATGAGGGGCTGACGGGACTTGCTGCTGAAGAAAAGAGAGGTCAGGACAGTGACACATATCTGTAAAGTGAGTTGGAATGTTGGGAAGTTGACCTTCACGTTTATGAAGGTTTCCCCAGGGAAGAGGAGAGAGGCCCCGCCTTCCCAGTCAGACTGCGTTTCTAGTTTGTGTAGATGCTTTTTGCCAAAATACACCACAGAAACGCTGTCGTGTCCCCCAGGGGCTCCGGTGAGCAGAGGGCAGGCGCGGTGGTGCCGTAGCAGCTCCGTCTCTGTCAGCTCCTGGTTCTCCTGGCGTTCTTCTCTGTGACCCGTGGGCATGTGGCAGCAGGTGGCCACGTGGCCTTCCACCGTCAGGTGGGGCACCGTGCCTGACTTTGCTGTCTTCTATAAGTTAAGGGCTCCGGCTCAGAAGGCACGTTAACGCACAGACCTTGTCCGGGAGAGCGTTGTGAGCTGGCTCTGACCTCTCTGAGCCTCAGCATTCTCGTCTGTGATACCTGCCTGTCTCACAAGCTAGCGTAGGACTCCCGCGAAAGTTTGGTAAACTGTAAATTCTCTTCATTTTTGGAAGCAGGGCTGGTAGCTTTTCTTACTGTTGTAACTATGACTAGGTGTAGGGGGTCAGGAAATGCCTCTCTTTAAGGAGGTAAGATTTGCATTGAAGTTGATGGGAAGAGTATCCCAGTACAGATCAGAGGAAAGTTCCACTGAAGGAGAATCAGCTGCAAAGGCCCTGGGGTAGGTAGGAGTGAGTGAGGGGGAGAGGAGAGGACTGGCCAGCCGAGCTGCCCGGCCAGCGTTGGGTACAACCTCCAGTAGCTCCCGAGGACGCACAGGGACTGACCTTGCTGTAGTGGCGTCCTCCACAGGCCCTGCCAACTCCAGGCTTAGGATTTTAAGAATTAAACACTCAGTCTTGATTTAAATGTTTACAATGAAAAAACAACAGGTGGGCGTCCCAGAACAACTAGCAGCTATTTAGGCCCCGGGGTTTGCTGCCCAGCTGGGAGAGTCAGCACAGGACAGGTTTGGCGGAGGTTTGAAAAGGCTGAGCACCCCGGTAATCTGGATTCCCGTTTGTACCGAGACCTGCTGGAGCATAAGCGTGAGGAGAGCGACGTTGTCGAAGCCGACCACTGAGAGTCATGCGTTTTTTGGCAGCACTACAGTGGGCGGAATGGGGGGGTGGGGACACAGGGACAAGGGGACCAACTAGGTCCCCATAGAGGCTGTCGGGGAGCTGCTGTTTTAGAACTGGTGACCCAAGGGGAAGTCCACACGTGTTCCGCCGGTCCCTCTGCTCTCTGCAGGATGCCCCAGCTCATGAATGAAGTGGGGGGTGAGACCCCTGCCCCCGTGAGTGAAGGTGAAGGCCGTTACCGACAGCTGACACCACAGGAGGGGCAGCCGCTACCTGTGAATAATCTCCCCAAGAGAACCGGACACAGTCTAGGGCTCTGTGCCAGCCTGCAGAAAACATGGGACAGAGGGGTGCAGTGAGCACCCGTGGGGAGCTGCAGGAAAGAGGACCCACGATCTTCAGCAAGCAGATTGCAAGGAAAGAAGCAATGAAGGGGGAAGCAATAGGCCGAAAGATCCAGCAGTCACAGTGAAGGGACTTCCTTGGATCCTGATTCAAACCAGCTAAATCCAAATGAGAAAATTAGGGAAACTGAAATCCTGGCCCGAGAGTTGACGATATTGAGCAGTATGCGTGCAAGTGTGTGTATGCATGGGGATGTGTATATGCACGAGTGTGAGTGTGTATATGCACATAAGTATGAATGTGTGCATGTGAGTATATGCACACAAGTGTGAGCGTGTACGTGCGGAAGTGTGAGTGTACACACACGAGTATGTATGTGCAGGAGCGTATGCATGTGAGTGTGTGTATCCACACGTGTGTACATATATACGTGAATGTACGTGTGGGAGTGTACACGTGTGAGCAGGGGCATAAGTGTGTATGTGTAGGTGTGAGTGTGTATGGGCATGAGTGTGCGTGTGACTGGGTGTGGTTTGGGATGGTTACGGTGGGAAAATGAGTCCCTATCTTTTAGAGATACACACTGATAGCTTTATGATGATGTGACCCGCTGTCTGAGATTTGCTTCTCGATGGTTTTGGGAGTGGGTGGGGGCATGGATGAAATACAATTGACTGTGAGCTGATAATTGTAACTGAGATGGGGGGCACGTGGGATGTGTTATATTATTAACTGTTTTATTTGTATGTTTGAGATCTTCCATATTAAAAACGTTAAAAACAAGGACAGCGGGAAGATATTTAACACCTTTCTCTTTATCTCCTCCCAGGAATGGCAGAAGTATTCAGGGGTTTGTGGGCAGTGTCTTGGGGGAGTATTAGAAGCTACTCGTACATACTTTTGCTAAGTAGTACCCTTGACCTGAGAACCGATCACCAGAGTCTGGCAGGCCTTGCATGAGTTGTCCTTGAGTGGGTGCGTGGGAATGTTCTGACGGAGACAGCCCTGAGAATGCCGCCTTGGTGTCCCCGACGGTGGGCTGGTTGCCGACAGCCGAGCCGTTAGCAGCGCTTCATCAATCGCTGTCAGCCTGTGAGTTTGATGAGGAGACTCTGGCACTGCAGGCCTCTGGAGGATTTGCAGGTTCAGCAGAAATCGGCCTGCTGTGTTGTCCTCAGTGAAAGGAGATGCACCCTCTGTGCTGGCTGGCGTTCCGTTCCTCGTTCCTGGCTTGGCGTAGAAACGTTGCACTGGTGGAGGGGCAAGGTGGTGGCACAAGGGCAGCCTGGTGGGTCGGTCTCCCCGCAGCGTGTGCCCGTGAGGACGTGTGCCTAGCAGGACCACCAGATGCCGGGGACCACGAGGGCGCCATGTGCACCCACCTGCTGTACTGAGGTTGCGCTCCTGCCTTTCAGACTGGGCTGCTGCCATCCGCGTGGCCGCTCTAGACTGCGCCGCGGAGAAGAACCACGATGTGTGCCGGGCCTACGACATCCGCCTCTACCCCACCTTCCGGGTGAGTGCTGCCGCCCCGGGGGCCTGTGCTGGCCACCTCTGACCAGGCACGCCTTTCCTCACGGGCGCCTCTCACAGGTTGAGTGCAGCTCACTTGGGGTCAGTCCTGAGCTGGGCATTTTGGGCTCACTTCTTAGACCTTCTTAGGAGTTTCTATTTGGGAAGGGTCACTTTTTATAGTTGTACTGTGGGGCCGTACACACACTTAGACACACGGACACAGATTCACACACACCACATATACACTCACTCGCACGCCACACACAAACCCACTTACACCACTCACATGTGCACGTGTGCACATACTCACATACACACACGCTCATACCCCCAAACCCATTTACACACACCACACACACATATGTGCTCACACAAAGACACGCACCACCTATACACTCACACTCATACACCACACACAAATCCATTTACACTACTCACACACACATACACACGGACAGGCACACACACACCACGTATACTCACACACACACTCACCGGCCCACGGACAGACACATACACACCACGTATACTCACACGCACACTCACCGGCCCACGGACAGGCACACACACACCACGTATACTCACACACACACTCACCGGCCCACGGACAGGCACACACACACCATGTATACTCACACACTCACAGGCCCACGGACAGACACACACCACGTATACTCACACGCACACTTACATGCCCGCGGACAGACACACACACACCCTGTATACTCACACACACACTTAACACGCCCGCGGACAGACACACACCCCCCCGTATACTCACACACACAGACCCATGGACACGCACACACCCCGTATACTCACACACTCACAGGCCCATTGAGTAACGTCAGCACCACAGCCTGTGGAGCCCATGGCCATCAGAACAGCCCAGGACTGCCGAGGACAGCACATGCGCTCTGAGCCCCCTTCTGTCCCCAGTGCTTAGAACGGGGCCTGTGGGTGCCCAGCTCATCTTTGATGAGGGGAGGGAAAGGAGGGGAGGGAGGAATTGGTGTAAAATTCTGTCACCCACTTGTAACACAGCTTGAGTTGTCATGGGTGGCTTATCTGTTGGCTTCTCTCCTTGACGTATGTCCCTGGGGGCAGGGATGCCTCTGCATTGTCCCCGTCTCTTCAGGGCTGGGACCAGTCAAGGCTTGTTGTTCGGAGGCTTGCCTGTGGGCCCGCTGCCCCGTGGCTGCACTGTCCTCATGTCTCCTGGGCCTTGAGTAAGTGCAGAACTACTGCTGGGGGCCTGGGCTCAGGCCCTCTGCCCAGGGCAGGCCCCACACGTGTGTCACGTGGACCCCTGGTCTCACCTGGGGGCTGTGATGCTGCATCCGGTGCAGACGGCCAGAGCTTGTTAGTGCCGAGGGAGTGGCCACCACAGCTGGGTGCTCGTCTACCAGGGGCCTCCTCACACCTGCCTCCTGGAAGGCCTCCTGAAGGGAGCAAGGGGGCGGGTTTGTGAACCCCACACGGGGCACAGTGTGAGTGCAGGGCTGCTCGCCTGCAGACGCGTCACGGTGACGTGACGCCCCCAGAGCACGCGCAGGCCTCTGAGAGGTTTCTCAGGCAGCTGCCCCGTCTCCCAGCCCTCCCACCTGAGAAGCCTGTGGTGTCCCGGCGGTTTCCCGTTTCCTGCTGACACCGTGACTAGGTTGCTCATTTTGACCATTATAGTGCTACCTGTAAACCTGTCACCCAGAGGGGACACCCAGAGGACCCCTCCCACGACTGTCCTTACGCGTTCCACGTTGCCCCGTCAGCGTGCCCCTGTTGACCTCACTTGGCGTTGAGCCTCACACACCAGAATCCTCCGGATGTGAACTCGTGGCCCTTTTTTTTTTTTTTAAATTACTGTGATACTGCTTTGATTCACCCCAACTTTGGGGGTTGCTGTGGTGCTCTGGTCTTGATGGCTGAGTAACACCCACCGTGGGACGACCCTCAGTCACTTCAGCCTGTCCTGCATGGCCAGGCGTTGGCCTCTTCCAGGTTTTTGCTCTTTTGAATAGCACTGCTGTGAACATTCTCACACCTGTCTCCTCTTGGGCGTGGACAGGTGTTCCTTCTGGGTGTAGACCTGGGAGTGAAGGTTCTGGGTCGAGAACACACGGATGTGGAGGAGCTTCCTGTCTGCACCCCATCTGCACGCCCTGCCCCCCCGCCCTGTGCGGTTCCCCCTGCCCCGCACACCTCTCCCACCTGGGCCCAGGGCACTGTCAGGTGGGGCCCTCCGAGGTCTGACTGCGTGTTTTCAGATCGTCTGTGTCTGCGTTTAACCCGTGAGACGGTTGCTCGTACCGCTGACCCGTTTTCCTCTTGGGTTGGGTATACTTTCCTCCCTGGTTCTAGGACTTCTTCCTGTGTCCCTGATGCCAGTCTCTTTTCAGTGATGAGAACTGAGAATGTTGTCACCCGCCTCTTTGTGGTCTTTAATGTGTCTCTTGATGAACACAGTTGTTAGCTTCAAAATAAAACCCTTTTTCTCTGCTTGAAGACACGCGGCGGTGTTTCCGCCTTCCCTATAAATCTCTCGTCTTGTTATCGCTCAGCATCAGAATACGTATTTAATGTCGGGAGTCAGGGAGAGGGTCGTCTCTTACGATCCTAGCACACCACTGAATTGTCCTATTTCCAGCCCTATTGGGTCAGAAAATGTAAATAATGGGATTCTGGTCGTCCTCACCGTCGCTCATAAATCTGGAGGAAGCACAGACACCCACAGACGCGCTCGGAAGCGTGCAGTTAGCTCTCAGTTAACGTCGACTTGGGAGGAAAGGCCTGAAGCCCTCTAAGATGGTGGCCGTTTTTGTTGCTTAAATATTACACAGAGACACAGACACCGAGCAGGCCTGTTTCTTAACTGGTGTTTTTCCTCTTAGTATTTTAAGGCATTTACAAAGGAGTTTACAATTGGAGAAGATTTTAAAGGTAAGGACGTAAGCGTCATTTTTTAATCTATTAGCCTCACCTCCCAAACCCAGGAAAACTAAAGTGGTTTCGGGGGACGTAAGAGTCAGGGGCGCAGTATCTTGCCCCCGACCCCCAGCCTCAGCGTCTGCTTCAGTGCTGTCCTGCCTGCCTTTCCTTGGAGAAGCAAACGTGGGTACACAGCTGGTGGGGTGCGGCGAGCCCGCCTGCTCAAGATTCGGCCAGGGCCTGGCCCGCCCTCTCGTGCCCATCCCGTCCCGGGGAGCGCTTCCTTGCAGGGAGCGGTGGCGCGGCTTCCCTCTCTCAGCTTCCTGTGTGGCCTCAGCCATGTGTGCTTGGGGCTGGCTTTCACTCGCTCACTGCTGCCCAGTCCCCGGGTGCATCCCCACTGTCTGGTGGTGGGTGGGCGTCTGGGCAGTGGGTGCCGCCGCCCCTCCAGGCCCTGGGGTGCGGGGCCAGGTCACGGCAGCTGCCCAGTGCAGGCTGACAGGTCACAGGTGTCTTTCTGTCCGGCAGGAGCTAACCGAGAGCTGCCGACAGTGAGACAAAGCATGATCGACTTCCTGCAGAATCACACGGAGGGAGGCCGGCCCCCTGCCTGCCCTGCTCTGGAGCCTATTCTGTGAGTACCCCGCCACGAGCGGCACCACACGCTGAGGTCATTCCTTAAAACGTAGGCTTGCATTGAGCAGTATGGGCGCTGGTGCCTGGTGGCCGGCCCACTGCTCCTGAAAGCACTAAAAGCCTCTTTTTTTCTCTTAAAAGGCCCAGTGACATTCTGTCTCTGTTTGACAACCGTGGTGGCCATTACGTGGCTGTTATATTTGAAAGCAACAGCTCCTACGTTGGACGAGAGGTACTGTGCGCCTGTGGCTTCTCGTTCTTACTGTGTGACGCCCGTCAGTGGTGTGGGCCTGAGGTTAGAGCCACGCGTGTTAACAGTTATTTCAGCAAAACTTGCTGTGTCTGTATATCTGCCTCTCATTACTCGTAGAGGGTGTAGTTTGCGTCACTCAGCTAATGCGCTGACGGACGGACAGAGTGAGTATAAAAGGTTGTGCCGGAGAGGGAACCACATGATAGGAGTCAGGCCGGTCCGGTCTAATCCTGAGCTTGAAGCTGAGAGAGGATTTTAGAGAAGAGCCGTTTCAAGACATGCAGAGCCCCTCGAGGTCACGGTGGGCTCAAACTGCATCTTTGTCAAGGGTCTCTTTGCCGTAATCTGAGGTCTTAAAATGTTTGACAAATCCACGACTCTTTAGAAGCTTGTTCTGTGACTCGGGTCTGGTGTCTTTCCTGCCCCATTTACAGGACTTAGGCCTTCACCTGGCCAAGTCTAAACGGCACCCAGACCCCTGACGCCCGCGGTCTCCTTGGGAACCGGAAGACTCTCTCACACCTCCGCGCATTCAGCTGTGACCCAGCTGGGGGCACTCTTCCTCCCCCGGGAGGTGGGTCGGGTCCTTGTTGGAACTTTTAGGATGGCGTCTGGAAGGAGGCTGCAGGCAGTGGGATTTTATTCACTTCAGTGGGGGGCAGTTCGGTTCAGTCAGTGCTCCTGGCTATGCCTCTCGGCACCTTGGCACCACCCCCTCGTCCAGTGGCAACGCCCTGCTGCCTTCTCGGTGGTTGGCCAGGATCCTCGGGGTCCGGGGGGCTGCAGCCGTGGCGGCACGTGCTCTCCCTCACTCCTCACTGGCCACCGCCCTCTCCTCACGTGGCACAAGGGCTGGGGGCAGCGCCCGCTCTCCTCAGGGGGCCAGTCACAGGCTGTTTTCATGCTGCCCCTCCCCCCGTCACAAGTTCAGGGTCAGCCAGGCTCTGTCCCCGGGAGAGGGGGTGTCTGGTGAGGGCTGGAGCAGATGCATGGCCAGCGGTGGCCCAAAAGAGTGAGGTGGACACTTGGCCTGTGCGCTCAGCTCCAGGGGCACAGCAGGCACACCCCACCCCACTTAGCAGATGCCACGTGTTAGAAAGTGGCCAGTCTTGATGATGGCCAAGAGGGGCCCAGAGAAACACCACCCCCAGTGGTCTGGCTGCTGTGATCCCCCCGCCCGCTATGGGCCACCCACTGAGGTCCCCTTGCCACCTGCTGAGGTCTCCCCGCCACCCGCTGAGGTCTCCCCCCCGCTGTGGTCCCCCCACCCGCTGTGGGCCACCCACTGAGGTCCCCTTGCCACCCTCCGTGGTCCCCTCACCACCTGCTGAGGTCTCCCCGCCACCCCCTGAGGTCCCCCTCCCGCTGTGGTCCCCCCGCCCACTGAGGTCCCCCCCCACCGTGGTCCCCCCACCCGCCGTGGTCCCCCCGCTGAGGTCCCCCCGGCCGCTCTGGAGGCAGCTGCCCCAGGGAAAGCAGGAGTCGCCCTGACCGGCGTGGAGCTGCTGCATGTCTAACGTCAGTCTCGTGGAGGACGTGCCGGCCCGCGACGGTTTCCTTGGTCACTCTGTGAAATTGCTAAATGAGGTCATGGTTTTTGCCTGTAGGCGTGTGTCCCTTAGTTGTCTTAAATACAGAAGAAATTGAAGTGTAGATTGTGGTCTGCCTTGTAGAGGAGGGAGCCCTGGTGGCGCAGTGGTTAAGCGTTCAGCTGGTAACCGGAGGCTGGTGGTGTGAACCCACCTGGCGATCTGCTTCCACGAAGATTATAGCCTAGGAAACCCTCCGGGGCAGGTCTGCTCTGTCACGTGGGGTCGCTGTGAGTCGGAATCGAACCTGTAGCACCTGACACCACCTTGTAGAGGGGTAACCGTAGCTGCGTTCTGGATGATGCTGTTTCCAGTGTCTGTGAGCATCACGCCCTGATGGTTGAACTGTGTTCCTCGATGTTGTCCGCGGGAAGGAAGCCCCTTTTCCTGTCCTGTGGTGTGAGGCAACTACGCGGCGCCCTCCGCAGAGCCACTTTCTTGTTGACGATTTAGTTCCTTTCTGTCCGGGGCCGCGTGCAGGTACTGTGTCCCGTCCCTGTGGCTTTTCCAGGAACCTAGACTGCCGTCTGCAGCGGTGCTAACAGTGCTTCTCCTCCCCAGGTGATTTTGGACTTGGTCCCCTATGAGAACATGGTGGTGAAGAGAACACTGGACTCGGATCGAGCGTTTCTTGAGAAACTTGGCGTGACTTCAGTTCCTGCGTGCTACCTGATTTATCCAAACAGGACACGTGGCTTCGTTAACATGTAAGTAGTCGTTTGGTCTACGGAGTGTTTGGAACATTTGGCGGGGTCCCGGCACTCGTCCGTGTGTGGGAACTTCTCGGACAGAGACTCCCGTGGACAGGGAGAGTCTGACGGGCAGCGTCTGAGGGAGCCCTGGTCCTCCCCTCCCCCAGGCTTGTCGGTTTAACCGCGTCTTCCGGCGCTTGGGTGCCTGTCATCTGTGCTGTGTTTCACTGGGTTTCTCGACAAACCCCACCCAGCAGATCTCCTGAGCCAGGAGCTGTGGGGGCCCGTGTCTGACCTATCAGGCAGCACGCTGGCCCGTGAACAGAAGTGGTTGGGACGGGCTCTACTCAGCCTCCACGGCCCTCCCTCCTTGCTGAGTCTGCCAGAAACCCTGCCTGTGCCCCAAGACGAGATCAGCTCAGAAGTCAGCAGTGCCAGTGAACTTGGACAAAGAGTCGGAAACGAGAGTGTAAAGCGATGTTTGTGGTGCGCACACTGGTCCACGCCTCCTTGCGTGGTGGAGGCGAGCCCTCCCGCCACCCGCCCGGCCTGGCCGACCCCCAACTCCACGGGCAAGCCCCCATCCCTAGCGGCCTTTGCGCGTGTCCCCCTCGTCTCGGTTTACCCAGTGGTCTCAGCTGAGTCCCCATATCCCACACAGTGGTGATAAGACAGCACACATTTCTGGGCCCCTGGAGCTGGTGTCTCCATCTCGAATGTCTCACGGTGGAGATGAGGGGTCTGCCCAAGCCGCCCAAGCCCCCCGTGCCCCGCTCTGCAGGTGCATCTCTGTTCTCAAGGCAGGCGGGCTCGGCCGCAGGCGAGGTCCCTGGAGGCGGGCTTGTTTGTCTCTCTGCGGTCCAGCTCGGCAGGATTTGCCTGAACCCTGGCTGGTGGCCAGGCCAGCAGTCCTACAGCATGACGCTCACCCTGACAGGCCTTCCTCAGACGGACAGATGCCACGTAGCATCGAGAAAAGCGCTTGCTTAGTAATCACAGCATCACGTCCGTGACTTCACTCGTTAACAAAGTAATGTTCCTGTTTCTCTCGGTGACGCTGCCGTAGTCTCTCTTTGGAAGTTAAACCCAGCTGTGAATGAGTGACCGGAGCTCCCCTGGAAGGGCTCGGGGGTAGGGGTCACCGCCCTCAGAGGCAGCTCTGCCCTGTCCAGCCTTTGCCAAGGCTCTTGGGCCTGTTGAAAATCACAGTTTCAAGAGGGCTGACGGCGACAGATGGAGCCCTGGTGGCGCAGTGGTTAAGACATCAGGCTACTAACCAAAAGGTCGGCAGCTCGACTCCACCAGCCGCCCCTTAGAAACCCTATGGAGCAGTTCTCCTCTGTCCTGAAGGGTCGCTGTGTGTCGGCATGGACGTGACGGCAGCGGGTTTGGTTTTTTTTGGATGGTGACAGATACTCCAGCCAGTGCTGTCAAAGACCTTAAGTCCCCAGTGAACAGAAATGAACCCCAGTACTTACTACAGCTGTCACACCAGGATGACTGGTGGGTTTGTCTGAGCTTCTCAGGTAGAGGGGGGCTCCCTGAGGTAGGGCCACGCCTGTCATGTCCAGCGCCCTGCCCACAATACCACCCTAAGGGCCTAGGCAGGAGCGGGCAGAAAGCCAGTCATGGCCCTACATGATTGGGAGGGGTGTCTCCTAACTAACAGACGCCACCCGGCGGGGTCTTGGCAGGGGACTCAGGGGCCCCACCTGGCTCCAGGTGGCAGCTCTGCCCTCTCCTCCCCCGTAGTGGGAAGCCTCTCCGGTCGTTTTTCTCTGCTTACTTGAAGTCACTGCCGGGCGTGAGGAAAAAAATACTCTTGTCACCTGAGAAGCCAAGCAGAGAAGAGAATGTCGGAACCACGGTCTGGAGGGAATTTGATAAGCAAGTATTCCTTTGACCTCACAGGGAGCGGCTGCCTGTCTCGGGGGGCAGTCCCTGAGGTTCTGCGCCACCCAGGAACTCTCGGGCACTGCCTGGGGGCGTGGAGCCTGGGGAGCAGGGGAGGAAGGGGGCGTTCATGTAGAGAGGAGCTGGCGTTAATGACCCTGGTCTGCAATCCCAGGGCCCGGCTGTACACCGCGGACCTCGAGTCTGCGCTGCACTACCTCCTCCGGGTGGAGCTGGCTGCCCACAGGTCGCTGGCGGGGGCGGAGCTGAAGACCCTCAAGGACTTCATCACACTTGTTGCCAAGGTGCAGTGTGTTTCCCACGGCGGTGGTGTCGGCTGGGCTGCGCCGTCTCCCGCCTCGGCGGTGTGGGCCCATGTGCATGGGGGAGGAAGAGGAGAAGTGATAGCAACTCGAGGGCCTGGGCTTCTGTCAGGATGGCCTCGCGGGGTTCTGAGATGAGGAGGGAGATGCCAGGGGAGTGGGCAGGGGCCTGTTCGTATAGAGGGGCAGCCAGCTCTATGGGACAGAGTCCAGGGCAGGGGCCTGTTCATACAGAGGGACAGCCAGCTCTATGGGACAGAGTCCAGGGCAGGGGCCTGTTCATACAGAGGGACAGCCAGCTCTATGGGACAGAGTCCTGGGCAGGGGCCTGTTCATACAGAGGGACAGCCAGCTCTATGGACAGAGTCCAGGGCAGGGGCCTGTTCATACAGAGGGACAGCCAGCTCTATGGGCCAGGGTCCAGGGCAGGGTCCCAGGAGGACTCACCACCAGAGTTGTTGTTTGAAGCCATGTGGCTGATGAGGTCACCCAGGGCGGGAAGGGGGATACCACCCCCTAAGGAGCCCTGGGCCCAGCCGTGCCCCTAGGTCAGGCTGAAGAGGTGTGGCCAGGGAGGTGGGGCACCAGCTGGAGCAAGGAAGACCTCCCCAGGAGCAGGCAGTGACCTGCAAGACGCAGAGGAGGCCGGAGACCCCACCACGGGCTGTAGCAGCGCAGGGCTCTGGACATCCAGCAGGGCCCGTGGGGTGGGTGAGGCAGCGTCCTGAGGGCCTTGTCGAGCAGATTGTTGAGTGTGGAGGCAGACGCCCCAGAGAGGAGGGGAAGGTTCTGGAGACAGTTGAGATGGAAGAGCAGGACGTTTTGGGGCTGGAGGTCCAGAGAGGGTGACGGTGGCGGTCAGGGTGAGGTCACAGATGCGTGTAATGAGGGCGCGGCTCCTCAGGGCGGGAGACCGTTCCTCCACCGTCCATCGCACCTGGAGCAAGTGAAGTAGCTTGTGCACTCGCCAGGTTGGGGGGGAGGTTGTCCTAGTGGCCTTCCCACCAGGAGGAGCTGGGCAGAGCAGCGGGAGGCAGGGGGCCGCCCCACCATCCTGGGGCAGACCTAGCCCAGCAGCCCCCAGGCTCACCCTCGCCTGTCAGTGCCAGTGGGGTCGGGGCGCCACCCTCAGTGTTCCTGCTGCCGCCACAGGAGGGGCCGCACTTCTGGTGACCCCGACCATAGCAGTGGGACCAAAACCAGGTGTGTAGCCACGTAGTGTGATTTCAGAACAAAGGAAGTTAAATCTGTGTTTAAAGGAATGACACGCGTGTGATACGTCCTCCATGAATAACGTGTGGAAACTGCAGACAGTCCCCCTGTCATTCAGAGTTCAGAAATCACAGCTGCTCTCTTTTCCCTCAAGAAAGTGCCCGCGGCTCTGCCCCCGAAGCCCCGCCCCCGACGCTGCTCTGCTCCCCCCTCCCCTTGCAGCCCGGCCGGCCGAGGCGCTGGCTCCCGGCCAGCTCTGTGTCACCTGAGTTGTGCCCGCGTTGCCGTCAGCAGGCGGGGGCGCTCTTGCCTCCGTGACGGGGTCCCCTCTCCTGTCCGCCTCTCACTCTTCGTTTGTGTGAGGGAGACGTCCCACTTGGGGCTGGCACCTGGTGTGGGAGCCCCTTAAGTCAGGGTGATGACAGATGACTCTCACCATCCTTTTCCTGCAGGCAACTTAAATATCTGAAAAATTAAATGCCGATAAATTGGTAACGGTGCTTTGTAGCCTCTGTAGGAAAGAAGAGAAAATGACAGAGTTGAGAACGTGCTGTTTGTTTTAGAATCATGGTTGGAAGATCTTAGGTCAGGTGTCAGGAGTTCCTGGGCCGTTTAATGAGGCCATCTCTGGCGGCCCGAGGAGGACAGAGGGTGCCCCTGCCTGTTTTTCCCGTGGCCTTCTCCAGGCTGTTGGAAGGTCTGCCAGCTGCAGCCCCTCCTGACGTAGGTATCAGCGCTTGGTCAGCACAGACTGCTGCTGACCTTTTTGCCTAGAAGCCTACGTGGTCCTGTGTGTCCTTGCCGAACAGCTGTCTAGTCCAGGGCACCCAGGAAGGAAGTCACAGCACCTGGGAGCACAGATGGAGAGCAGGCAGGGTTAGCATGTCGTCATGGATGCAGCGTGCGTATGCAGGCGGCAGTTTCTGGAAGGGCCCCAGAGCACTTGACAACTCCATAGATGAGTCACGCATTGAGGTCTGTTGTCTGTCACTGTGACGTGGCTACTTAGCGTGAGGAGGGACGGCTGCTGGAGTCGTGCTGGGCGGGCAGGCGAGACACAGACAGGTGGAGGAGCTGGGCACAACATGGGCGGCCCAGGAGGACGGGTGGAGGAGCTGGGCACAACATGGGCGGCCCAGGAGGACGGGTGGAGGAGCTGGGCACAGCACAGACTGCCCAGGAGGACGGGTGGAGGAGCTGGGCACGGCATGGGCGGCCCA